TGTCGATATAGACAACATTGCTAAAATAGCCGATAGGATTTATGAGAGAATGAAGCAAACGAGTCAGCAAAGGCATAGTGCCACAATAGATGGACGAATCGATGCATTACAAAAGAAGATTAATGTTTTATGCCACAAGCTGATGAAACTAAATCAGAGCGATACGCAAAGAGGATGGTCACGAAGTAGATCAAGGGAAAGAAGTCGATCACGTTCTAGGAGACGCTCAGCTCCTACAATATGTTGGTACCATCAAACTTTCGGCGATAAAGCTCGAAACTGTAGATCACCATGTAAATTCAAACGAACACACCGATTGTCGATAACCGTCGTAACAACTACAACAGCTCCTAGAAACAGTCGTTTATTTTACGTTCAGGATAGAGTAACAGGCGCTCAATTCTTAGTGGATACGGTAGCAGAAGTAAGCGTCGTTTCTCCAGTAAGCAACGAAATACGAAATATCGATACAGCGCTAACGCTTAAGGCAGCAAATAAATCCGATATAAAAACATATGGCAAGCGAAAAGTAACCTTGAATTTCGGTCGTACTACCTCATTCCGCTGGGAATTCATTATCGCAGATGTATCCGTACCTATAATTGGTATTGATTTCTTAAAGAATTTTGACTAACTAGTGGATACCCGACGAAACCGGCTCGTGAACGGCGACCATTCAGTAGTGATAAGAGGAGTGACGACTGATCACGCATCCATGAATTTAGTAGTGTCAAAAGACAAAAACGAGCCATATAGATCGCTTCTAAACGAGTATGCCGATCTGACGAAGGTATCATACGATAACAGAGATCTTAAACATACGGTACAGCACCATATTATAACGAAAGGTCCACCGACTAAATCAAGACCACGAAGGCTAGACCCGAAAAGTTTGAATGTCGCGAAACGAGAGTTCGAAAAGTTGACGAAGCTTGGTATCATAAGACCTTCTAATAGTCCCTGGGCGTCCCCATTGCATATGGTTTCGAAGAAGAATGGGAAAATCAGGCCATGCGGAGACTATAGAGCCCTTAACAAGCAAACTATGGCAGACAGATATCCGATACCACATATCCACGACATTACTACCAATATGGAAGGTGCCACTATATTTTCGAAAATCGATCTCGTTCGAGCTTATTACCATATTCCCGTAGCGGCAGAAGATATATCTAAAACGGCTATAACTACTCCATTTGGGTTATTCGAGTTTTTGCGAATGCCCTTCGGATTAACTAATGCAGCCCAAACCTTCCAAAGATTCATCGATCAGGTCGTCAGGGGTTTGACAGGAGTTCACGCATATATCGATGATATACTAGTAGCTAGCTCTACCAGGGAAGAACATCTACAACATCTACGACAGTTGTTTACGAGACTTCAAGAACATGGCGTCACCATTAACGTGGAAAAGTGTGAATTTGGAAAGGAATCATTGCAATTCCTAGGTCATATGATAAATTCACATGGTATCATGCCAGTTCCGACAGAAGTTGCTGCTATTCGTAATTATCCGTTGCCCGATTCACAAAGAAAATTACGAAGATTCTTGGGGCTAATAAACTATTATAGACGATTTATCCCAAACTGCGCAGCAATATTACAGCCATTGACGGACGCCTTGTGAGGACATACTCGAACATTCCGTCTTTCAGCGGATGCTATACAGGCTTTTGAGAACGCAAAGCGAGCGCTAAACGAGAAGATGATGTTCGTACGACGAAAGAATGAAGCACCATTAGCAGTAATGACAGACGCATCGAACTTAGCAGTAGGAGCCGTTTTGCAGCAGTTAGTAAACGGTGCATGGGAGCCACTTTAATTTTTCTCGAAAAGATTAAATCCTACCCAAACGAGATATAGTACGTTTGGACGAGAATTATTAGCAATCTACTTAGCAATAAAACACTTCCGTCATATGGTCGAAGGCATAAGTTTTACCGTCTATACAGACCACAAACCACTAACGAAAGCATTAAGCGCAAAGCAAGACAATTATTCCCCGAGAGAGATCCGACAACTAAAGTTCATTTCACAGTTCACGTCCGACATACAGTACGTTAAAGGACAAGAAAACGATGTGGCCGACGCATTGTCACGAGCAACGATAAGCACACTTATGGCAAGTGGAATTGATTATAATGGTCTAGCAAAGTTGCAGGAGAGAGACATCGAGCTAAATAAACTCAGATCCGGAGGTTCAACATCATTAGTACTCGAAGAGGTGCGGTTTGGTAACACGAAAGTAATTTGCGATATATCAACAGGCCGACCGCGACCATTTATCCCGAAAACGTTGCGACACAAAATATTCGAAAGCATGCACAACATGTCGCACCCAGGAATAAAAGCCACGATAAAGCTGATTAGTGAACGATTCGTATGGACAAACATGAATCACGATGTACGTAATTGGACACAAGCATGCATGAAGTGCCAAAACGTTAAGGTACATCGTCATACTAGCTCTGCAGCAGGTCCGTTTTCGCACCCAGACACTAGATTTGAACATATACACATCGATATTGTAGGACCACTGCCCGTTTCAAATGGATACAACTATATCTTTACATGCATCGATAGGTTTACACGATGGCCGGTAGGAGTGCCGATAAAAGACACCTCAGCTGAAACGGTAGCTGAAACCCTAGTTGAAAATTGGATTTCTTACTACGGTGTACCAACGATTATCACAACTGATAGAGGAGCATAATTCGAAAGTCGACTCTTTCAGCTGCTTACAGAACTCCTCGGTATTAAACGAATCCGAACGACGTCGTACCATCCAATGGCAAACGGAATGGTCGAACGCCTACATAGGCAATTAAAAGCGTCCCTTACAGCCGTCATCGTTAACAACGATTGGTCTAATAAACTTCCCCTAGTAACGTTAGCTCTAAGAGCAACAATTAAACAAGACATGGGATGTTGTCCAGCCGAGTTAGTTTACGGAACTACTCTACGGTTACCCAGAGAATTTTTCGCTTCAAGTAAAAATGTCCCGACTGATGTAACCGGCTATGTGCAACGCCTGATAAAGCACATGAGCGATTTAAAAATAACACCTCCCAGACCACAACAACGACGGGTATTCATACCACAGGAACTGCATAACAGCTCTCACGTATTCATCAGAAGAGATAAAATACAACCACCTCTTCAACCGAGTTACGACGGCCCATTTAAAGTGATAGAGAGGACAAATAAATCGGTTACCATAGAAAGAGCTGGGAAGACAGATGTAATTAGCATCGATCGAGTAAAGCCAGCTTTCATCGATAGCGATAATCAGTCAACAAGTACAGACTCATCTAAGATGGTCACACCAGCGAAACACGAGTCCCAAAAATCAACAACGTTAACGCAACAAAAAGACAAGACTCCGATAACAACAAGATCCGGTCGCAGAGTAAGATGGCCCAAACAATATGTCGCTACGATTTTTTATTAATGATCTTCTACTATTATTTTAAATATTAATTATAACTTCATCTTAATTTTGTATAAGCCATTTTTTCAAACAATTGAAACTACCCTATTCAGTCTACTAATTTTTTTATGCAAACACAGACATTTTCCATATATCTTTGTTTGCAGGGGGGAGCTATTATAGTGACTCACGTACAAATGGGTTTATTCTCATTTAACCCAGTTAAGCCCTTTCTGCTAACTTATTTAGCGGACAAAGCCATCCGCACTATAACAATTTATTGTACCCTTATTATTATTCTGTGCTTGTATGAAATACGCAACCTTGAATATTGCTTACGGACTACGCATTTGTTCACTCTGCTAGTCTCACTACTAACCGCTTATTTGATTTGATTACTCATTAATTTCACATGCTATATATATGTCCATGTTATTCATATGGTTGACTCTGCTTTCTCGCTCGCTTGATTGTACTCGATTACTTACATTCGCTCAGTCGCTCGCTTGCCTGTTTGCCGTTCGACACAACTCTTAATGCTCGTTTAATGCATCTGTAATTTTGGACATCTGTGTGTGGTCTCGAAATAAACGTAATCAACGCTTCGTATTCGCCTTCTGAATAATATACCGTTGGGGTTAAATAGGACGGTTATCAAGACGAATTGTATACGAAGTTTAAGGGATATATCGAATACCGACCACCACAGGGGCTCCTAACCACGTGACCTTGAGGTGCCGAGTCCACAAACAAGACGTGCACACCCAGTTCCACCTTATGCCGGTCGATGGCTGGGCAGCCAGCATCAGGGTGAGGTAAACTGAATATCACGTCTTGTTTGTGGTCTCGGCACCTCATGGTCCCCTGGTTTGGAGCCCTTAACCCTAACCCTCACTCTAAACCCTATCCCTGGCCTTTTATTTTATTCAGGATTAACTATTTATCGTTTCACCTAGTTACCTTGTCGTAGAGATCGAGATTACAATAATAGTTTTATTGATGTGATATTTCTATATTGAGATAAATATTTAGCAAAACTGAAGCTGTTCTATTCGGGGTTATGACTTGTATTTTTGTTGTATATTTATGCAATACTTAAAGTATTATGTTTTTGTTTCTCTCTACTTGTAAACTTATTCTTCACACGAAAATTATTCGTGTAAGGTTCATATTGTACAAATGTTATTTTCTACGTTGTGGTCTGTTTGGTTGGTATATAAACTCAGTATGTTTGAAATATAGTGATTCATATTGCAGAGGCTCGGGTTGGTGTTCTGGTCTTAACTGGCTGGGCTAGGCTGAAAGCAGGATCAATCAAGACTCTAGGCTGCTCATACGGGTTTACGCGTCATTGGTCCGATTGATAAGTCACTTCTGTCTAATCGGTGGTCACAAGTTATAACAAGCTAGTATCAGTTGGTGATGAAAACACTAACCCTAACCCTAAACTTAGCGCGTGTCAAACGTTATTTCATTCTATTTTCGTCTTTGAAAATATTTTAAATTTGCTTTTACTGGATTGTCATCTTTTATTTAATAAGTTCTTGAAGAAAAACATGGACGGTAGGAATTCTATAAGTAGTATTTATTCCAAAATTAAAATAGAAATAATTAAATGTGAAAAAATGCATAGACTATCGCCCGTCTTCCGTCACAAAACTTTTCTGATCTGGTTTAGGTGACTGATATAATGAATAATGGTGAACTTAAAAATGAGTAATGTAAGTCATGAATGTGATATAATAATGCTAAATGTTTGCAATTTGAGAACATTGTTCATAATCATCGTTATATTTTCATGACTTTTGGTCATCTCCTGTTGTATCCACAGGTTTAAAGACTTCATCTTTTTGTCTTAAGTGATTAATTGCTAAACCGAATAGTACACAAATAACTAAACTGCACAATGATAAACCAATTGCAATAGATAGACTCATATCATGTGAGATATCACCAGCACACACAACACCTAGAAAGATATAATTGAAAAAAATAAGCACAATGAAAAAATTGTCTTAAAAAATTATTCAAGTCAAAATATTCAACTCAATAAGGAAACAAATGAGATATGAGAAAAGATGTCCTTAAATAGATTGGTATTCTTGTTTATAGGTATTAATGCCAAGGTTGAACATGACAGTTTCAAATAAATTGGGCATTCGGTGGAAAGTTAAAAATAAATATGTTTTTCTTAGGTCCCAATAAATAGAAAATTGTATTGCTCACGTTCTGTGACTTGATGTAAGAGACTTCTTCAGATTAAAGAAATAACCGAATCAAATTAACACAAATTTAAATAATATAAAAAAACAAGGCAGAATATTTTTAGTACAATCAAAATCAATGTAGGTTTGAATATGTCAATGTGGTGTTATTCTTGGTCAAGATGAATTTGTACGACCTGCCACTGCATTAATTTGTGCCGTAGAAGGTGGATAAAAATTGTATGTAGTTGTATCATGAAGTGCTAGGGTTGAAATTTTGTGTTTTTAAATGGTATGGAAGATAAATAAGGTCAAATTTTCGGTTGATTGGAAAAACAGTCCAGTAGGCTGTTGCTTGTTATCCGGCGAAACGGCTAGTGTTAATAAATAACTGTAACTTTTTGATGACGGTTGTAGTAGTTCTCCACATTTCAGCTCCGTATGATAGAACTGTCTTGACGTTCGTATTGAAGATTGTGATTTTGATGTTGGTTGACAGTTTTTTTGAGTCTAACATATTCTACAACTATAGGAATGTGGACCTTGCTTTTTCAATCCATGCCTTCATATCTGCATCAGATCCTCCTTGTTTATCAATCATGCTGTCGAGAAAAGTGAAAGTTTTCACCTCTTCCAGAACTTCTCCATCAAGTGAGATTCAGTCGGTGTCTTGTGTTGCATTTGAGGATCATGCTTTTTCCCTTGTGTACGTTAAAGCCCATTGCTGCAGAGGTTGCTGCTAAAATGGCGAACTTCACTTGTATTTGTTTATGTGTATGAGACAGAAGAGCTAGATCATCTGTGATGTCCAAATTGTCTAAATGTATCCGTACCTTCCCTCAGATTTGGAAGTCTTCATAATCCAGTCAACCACCAGAAGAAAGAGAGATGGGGAAAGTAGACAGCTATGTCTGACTCAGGTCCTCATTCGGAATGCGTCTGTCAACTGTACTACTACACGCACCATTTTGTAGTAAAGTCAGTTGTATGAATTGCGAATAATGTTGACGATCTTCTCAGGTACACCATAGTGTCGAAGAAGGTTCCATAAGGTTCTCCTATCCACAATGTCAAACGCTTTCTCAATGTCAAGAAAGTTGACGAATTCCACTCAACAATGATCAGTGATGTCGTGATTTGATCTATGCACGACCGATCCTCATGAAATACAGTCTGTTGATACCGAAATTGAGCGTCTACTAAATCCTTCATCCGGTTCAACAACACTGCTTAAAACGTCCCCCAGTATAGATAGTAGTGTGATGTCTCTTAGTGGTTGGCTTGCCTTCTTTTTCCTTGACCGGTATCTCTAGTTTACAAGATTTCTCTGCCAGTTATTTCGTTGCACCATATAGTCATCTCATATTTCCTTCTCTGGCAACCTTCTCCGCCGTCGGTGTTAGGTCTGTCATGTATTTCTGCTTGTCGGCTCGGATACTCCTCTTCATTGTCATGTTTACTTGTTTATATTCAGCGTGTTCCTTTAATTTCTTTTTCATGTTCAGCTGTTGTTAATTGCTGTCTTCTTCTTCTTCCTTTCTTGAATCTTGTTTAGGTTTTCAATAGAGATCCATGCCTCATGATGATACTTCTCGCGCCCCAGCACCTCCTGACACGTTGAAATTAGCGCTTCTTTGATCCCTTTCCTGTTGTCCTCCATAAGAGTTTCTTCTTCTTTCAGTAGACCTTGTAAGGCTTTAACCTGTCACTGAGAGCTAACTTGAATTCGTGGAGTTTGTCAGTATCTCGTAGAAAGGCTGTATTGAAACTTTGTAATGCTGTTTGTTCAGTTGTTCAGTGCTTCTTAAGCTCCAGTTTCATCTTTGAAACCACTAGGTTGTGATCTGAAGTTATGTCAGTTCCTCTCTCGGTCCTCCCGCCTTCCATCGACCTTCTGAATTTACTAGTAATACAATTATGATCAATCTGGTTCTCTGTGATGTGGTCGAATGAGACCTATGTAGCCTTGTGTATGTGTTTATGTGGGAATATAGTTCCACCTACAGCCATTTTGCTGAATGTACATAAATTTGCGAATCTCTCGCAATTCTCATTCCTTTCTCTCAGTTAGTCCATCATTTCGTCTCATTATATCTTGTTGTACATTTCGACTTTCATATTTAGGTATCCTATGAGGATGGTCAGGTTCTCTTCTAGGCACTTCTCTGTGATCGACTGCAGTCTCTCGTAAAACTGATGTTTATCCTCGTCACTGCTATCAATGGTGGGTTCATAGCATATGATAATATTCATTTCGATTCCCTCCTTCTTTGTTTTGATGAATCATTTGACGGTTGTGGATTCATGATATTCGCATTTTATGGGTGTTTATAGTTCTTCTTTGAACAGCACCAATATATATATATGGTTTATTGAAATGTTTCTTTGTTGTTTGCATCTGTTTTTGAAATATATATAATCTCAATATTGACGTGTGATAAATCGTACAACGCTTTGCTGCTAAATTGTATTAATGGAATGAAATCATGCTAATTTGAATGTAATTCATGCTGACAGTAGGAGGTATTGTCAGTTATATTTACATATACAGGATGTGACTAAGAAAGCATACTTACTTGCTCCAGTAAATTCTGGTACATTGACGTCAGCAAATGCTTGAGAGCGTACACTTTGTAAACTCATTATAATATTCCATTTGTCGTTATGTGATTTAATGTAATTATCATTCGAATTAACTACTGTACTATTTTCTGTATCAAAAACAAATTGAGTCTCTGAAACACATTCATAATAATCACCAACTCTAGCTTGTAAACGCTTTTCAGCTAAACTATGTACAATAAATTCCTTAGTATCTAGAAATAAAAATAAAAATAAATAGGATCCGAAAATTAAAAAAGTTATATTACAATATTTTTCAACTCTATATACAGAACAAATGAAAGAAACACAAACACCAAGTGTAGTGTGACAAATATAAATATAGAGAAATCCATCCCAATCACTTAAATAATTTCCCTTATATCATTTTTATATTGAGTTTTCGAATCTCACCATTGGTGTTTGGGACTGCAATTATTCAGTCTCTTATTGGCATATGTGCATCTTGTGAGGATTGCCTCGATATCGCCCTAAGTCATGAGCATATATATAAACTAAACCACCCTATTTTGCACAAGTTATGTGTGCCCAGTAGCTAAGTGGACAACGTGATGGCTTGCGAAGGGAATGGCGCTGGGTCCCAGTTCCGGAGTGAACAGCAACTCTGGGATGCAGGTAAATCCACATGACGAGTCATGAATAGAATGAAACGCGCATCCAAGATTCCACTGCTAGCCACTATCAGTCTTTGCTTAGTATCCCTACTATATCCTAGTGAGAATCGAATTACACGTAACTTCTGAGGACTGATAACAGACTAATATTATATATATTCTTATTGTATAACTATTCAGTAACTATTATATATATTCCTCATATTATAAGCTTCATTTTGACCTACAGATTAATATTATTTTACGACTTACTGTTCTTAAATTATGCTCACTTTATTAATTACAGTCTCCCACGTCCACAGTCACCTCTCGGTCAGATCTTTCATGAATGTTATTTCCTATTTTATGATATTATGTGATCTATTTGGCTGATATATAAATCAAGTATGTTTGAAAGAAATGATTCCCATAATGAAAACTGTTGTTAGCGTTCTCGACTCAACTGGAGGTGATAAGAGTACAAAGGATCAATAAGAACGCTGGGTTGCTGATACAGGTCGAAAGTCATTGGTTTGGCACAGTACTAGGATTGTATAAGTTGCATTTTGATGGGCAAATAAATCATGTGATAATCGACTAGGCTTAAAAACACAACAATCCCCTTATGGTCTTTAAGGTTTGATTATCTGACAGTAAACAACGTTTTAATTTCCGAGTTTTTAGTCTCTCAAATGCAGTAAATTCCATTTGAGATACTAATAAATCCAATATTCGTCTTTTAAATACATGGAATTTACCTCACAATAGTTCTAGACAATGTTTCCTACTGCCCTATAACTGCAAAAACCACACCCATGTCACTAATAGCTGTAGTAAGCTAACTATACTGACGTATAAAGTTTTTTAATTAAAATGCTTTGTCGATGCCTAGTTTTAGCCACTGTAATAAAATAATCGTGGATTTACAACTCAATAGTCAGCTAACGAAGTTATTTAAAACAAGTATTTGCTCAAATGTTCAGCGTTCATTAAAACAGGCTGTTGTTTGATAAAACGTCAAATTCTTTTAGATACCGAGTGACATAAATCAATCTTTCGTTGAACTATAAAGTATCCCTATCTTCAGATTATAGAATAAAAATGAATTTTAAGGAAAAGTAATCAATCTTGCGTAAGGTTTTTACTCGAAAAAAAAAATATTTAAAGCCAATTAGTTTGGAATATATAAAATATAAGTATAATTTACTTCCTAAACATGTTTATTTCAGATAAACGTTAAGAAAAAAGCATCGATTTCATAAGCCTTTGTTAACAAAGTATTTCAATGCGTTAAAACAAGCTACAAAATTACATTGCCAACTTTGCAATACTTTGTATTAACCACCTTCACAAAAATAATAAACGCGACGATTGAGGTAAAATTAAAAGTAGAAATATGATTTTCAAATTATCGCTTAAGGGATTATAAATAAACAACTCATTGATCCATAATTAAGGTTATATTCACGTCAATTTGTAAGCGCTAAGATCCTAGGTGTATGTTATTTAAAATATTACTCATCAATCGAAAATATTCTTCAATCTCATTTCCAAACGGTAGGAAAAATGAGAAAGACAGAAAGTAACAAGTCAAGAAACGATACATTTTCAATTAAGTGAACTACTACAAATTCAAGTTAAACAAAACAATATGATTTGTACATCTGTCATTTCAGTCGAAAGATTTATGAAAACTGACAAACATAATGTTATAATCTCTTTCTTACGGTTATGACCCAGCTATTCCTATTGCTTAGTATTCTCGGACACCGATTCACTCGACAAGTCCCCAAATCAGAACACGGATGAACAGAAAAGAGATTATATTCCAAATAACAAGGTTAGATGGAAGTAAGAAGTACAATAGAGAAAACGTTAGTATATTTATAGTTTTTACTTGAGAAGGTTCTAGAGTGTTCTCCAACTATCGAGTAGTGCTGATTGGTTCAGAATTAGCCAATCAGCGTGCATCAAAGCAATCATGCATTGAGCATGATTCAATCCAGTCTATATCCCACTAACACATAAGAATAACAGAGCTATCCCAATGAAAAGGTTTCGAATTTTAATTTAGTTAAAAAACAGAAAGTTACACTGTTAATTTACGAACTCTCTTTAGGTTAACTGGAATACGTGTAACGTTGTTCTAAGAACTTATTATAACTTATATAACTTAAAACGTTCAAATTACAAATAATCATTGGTCTATCAGGAACTGATCAACAGAATCACAATAAAGGATCATTTTCTATTTTAAAAAATCGTTATTGCAGTACACGTCACCATATGATTAAAGCAATATTTTGTCAACCTAAATAAATAGACCTTTAAACAAACAAAATATTTTTCACAGATTGAAATCATGAGTCGGTTGAAGCTAGACCACCATTGAAAACCTGGAAGCACTGGACGGCCGTTTCGTCCTAGTATAGGACTCCTCAGCAGTGCGCATCCACGATCCCGCACCACGCGGGGCTCGAACCCAGGACCTACTGGCTTCGCGCGCGAGCACTTAACCATTAGACCACTGAGCCGGCATCCAACGGTGTTAATGTCTAACTTCAACCAATCCACGAAGTTGCGCCACCATATACCATTGTCTTCAGTGAGCTGATATCCCACAACAGACCTGGTTGTACTCCACTGGTAACGGCTTCCCACTAGAACTCCAGGATGCCGGCTCATAGAACTATAGAACTAAAGAATTTTATGCCAACAATCTTGAACTTTCAAATAATGTTCATAGAACAACAGATAACTTTTTTTTTAAAAACCGTCTATCATTTACTATCATTTACAATTATAAGAGATTATTGAACGTTTACAAATTAGTAAGCAAAAATAGTCACAACAGAAAATATATCAAACAAAAAACACCAATGAAATTCCTCAACAAAATGAATGTTTAATTCTTTTACTTTCTTGTTAAATATAAAAGAACATTATGAATATGAATATGAATTCCAATTATACTGAATATGCTGTGTATATGACCAGAAGCGCAGTTAGTTAAAAATCGATATCCTGTTATAAGTGTGGAGGTATTTTACGTTAGGATTGTTGCTAATCTACGGTTAAATATTAGCTGGTAGTAGAATGAAGGACAACCATTTCGTTTCATTTAGAGCATATCATCTGGACATATCTATATTTTAATGTTGGTGTCAACACACACAACAACAACTGCAGAAGGCGACCAGTTTGACAGCAGCCTCAGCAGTAGTACGTCACAACATACACAAAGGGAAAAGCAGGATTCTCCGATACAACACAGCATGCAACAATCGAATAACACTTGACGAAGATTTGGGAGATGTAAGAACGTTTACATATCTGGAGAGCATCATTAATGAACTCAGTGAATCTAATGGAGAAGTGAAAACGCGGATCGGCAAAGCAAAAGCAACATATTTACAACTGAATAACATCTGGAACTCAAAACAACTGTCAACCAACACCAAGGTCAAAATTTTCAATACAAATGTCAAAGTCGTTCTACTGTATGGGGCGGAAACCTGGAGAACTACGGAAGCCATCATCCAGAGGATATAAGTGTTTACTGACAGTTGTCTACACAAAATACTTTGGATCCGTTAGCCAGACACTATCAGCAGCAACCTACTGTGGGAGAGAACAACCCAGATCCCAGTGAAGGAAGAAATCAGGAAGAAGCTCTGGAAATGGATAGGACACACATTAAGGAAAGCACCGAACTGAGTCACAAGACAATCCTTTGCATGGAATCCTCAAGGCCAAAGGAAAAGAGGAAGACCAAAGAACACATTACTTCGAGAAATGGAGACAGACATGAGAAAAATGAACAAAAATAGGATAGAACTAGATTGGAAGGCTTAGGACAAAGTGGGTTGGAGAATACTGGTCGGCGGCCTATGCTCCATTGGGAGTAACAGACGTAAGTAAGTAAGTCAGCACTGCGACTTGAATTCAGTGCCTTTCGGTTCAAATCTCAACTTATCTAGTAATATATTGAGTCTACACAGCCTTTAGAAACCTAGAAAACAAGCCGTTTCGTTTTTACCATGTAAGATATCAACTACATAAGTAATCGAACATGCCTAACTAAAACATTGTACGATGTCAGGTTTTGACCACCAAGTGATAAAAAACCATGCACCGAGGTTAACTCTTATCCACTTTTTCAAATTCATCACTCAACTTCACTTCAACAGAAATATTGAATCAAAAATCACGTGCTAGTTGCTACACTTATAATGAATGTGAAAAGTTTCATATCGCTTTCCATGTATCCACTTTTGAGGGAAACGTAGAGGTTGTTTATTTAATTTGACACTATCTAATTACTGTAAAGTTGTAGTAAAATAGAAACAAGTGATTGGTTGTAGGTTATGTCAGAGTTATGAATTTTGATAAGTGAAAAGTTTAGCCTGGATATGAGGCCAAAGGTTACTGAGGCCATTATCAAGCATAATTTCAGAACGTGACGAGAATCATCTTTATAAAGCATCAAATCTTCATATACTACCTATCACAAAAACAATTTGATACCAATCAGTAAGGGGTTGTAGAGATTGTCGAATTTTACTTAAATCATCAATTAATCTTAGACCCACTATTTAAAACCTGGAAGCAGTGGACGGACATTTCGTCCTATTATGGAACTTCGCAGTAATGTACATTCACCATCCCA